CTACTCTATGTTGAACTTCTTCCGCACCGCACGTAGCCAACCGTGCTAATCGGAGGTGCGGTGAGGAGGACAACACACCCAATACAAAGAGCAGTTCTAAAGAAATGAGTTTGCAATTTAGATGTAAAAGTGCGTAGCTCCTAGTGGCTTACTAATATCGGAAGGAAGAGCGTTCCAGACGGCCACAGGAGCGTATCTGAAAGCGCGCCATCCAGTGATGTACATCCAGTCTATCTGGGCAGAGCTTGGAGAGTTACCCTCTCGTAGGCGTGGGTTTTCTCCAGGTTGTCCAGTTTCCTCCCACGTGAAGCCAAGGCCTCGTTAATAGCAATTATTTTAAAAAAATATCCCAAAGTAGCAGGAACCTCCTGAAGAAGAGTCTTCAGAATACGTGGGGCTTTCTTGGGTAACTAAAAATCCATCATTATTATTGTAGAGCTTTCGTGCCGGTCACGGTTGAAATGGTTTAACATGAAGCGCGTTCGACGATTGTTGTTTCAAGAGTTGCGCGGTTCGTTTCAAGCGGCAGACCTGGTTAATACTGCGGGTGTAATCACAGTAACAATTTCGCGCCCGTCCGCTTCACCGTGCACGTTTAAAAAGATGCCGTGGCGTCATTCGCAAGAGCAGTGTCATTGTGCGCCAGCATTCGAGGGTCCACGTTTTCCAACGTTCGAAAATAACACCGCAAAGTACCCAAATGGCAGGAACCAATCATCGCCCAACCCCCCCCCCCCCGCCACCCCCCTACTGGCAGACCGATGCCCCCAGGTCACTATTGCAAACGAGACTCGATCTCGGTCTCTTGAGTTCTCATCTGCTGAACAAAATAAACTTGAAATTTGAACTTGATAATGCCAAACTGTGCCTAGAAACCAAACGACAACAAAACAACCCAACGGGTGAGAGATAAATAAATAATCGGCCACATAAACACAGGTGAAATTGTGAAGTTTAGCCGAAACGCTTGGGCTGTGATTGTCTCAATGAAAGGTTTGTCCAGAAACTCAGATTTCGACACTCCTACAATCCCGGCCAAAGTGCAACGGCACATTTACCTTTCCTATAATTATTCGAGGATTTTTATATATTTATTTTTACATTAGTTGCATTGCCGTGGCTCAAATTCCTTCTCCGCTGCGCGCACACTACCACGGTGTGACAAAGCTCCGGCCGAAACCACATCCCGTAACCTTATAAACTGCCAACAATGCCGTCTATTGAGGCAGCGACGGTAGATTATCAGCATTTATTTACATTGAATCCACTTTACGAGAACGATAGCGATCTTGCGTTCCGGTTCGAGCATGCAAAGCGCTACAAGATCAGCGAGACACAGGTTCCCCGTATAGCCTTTAAAGACTTGTGGGACAAGTGCAGCACCATGCCCGGCCGCCTTCGTCTCCCCAGTGGCGATGTTTACACACCGCACCAGGTACTCATTTGAGGCTGAGTCGATCTAGGGGAGGAGGGCAGGACCGGTTCGGATAGTCGTCACCGATGTTGGCCGTGAGCAGGAATCGCCGGTGTCGTAGCGCAGACCACTACGCCACCGCTCCCCATTACACACGCACAGGCAGCGAAAGCTTTACAAACGAAAGAAGAAGAAGAAAAAAATAATAATAATCTTACAATTTCCTGGACTTTGTCCAAGCCTCGACATGCCCCGGGATGAAACGCGAGCTAATGACATTCGGGCCACAATTGTCCAAGCGAAACGAGCGAGCGAACGAGCGAGAAGTTTTGCGGCGTAGCGATTTGCGAGTCAAGTCGTCGCAGCGTCGCAAATAATGACTCTCGCCTGTCATCGCGGGCGGTTCTTTTTTTTGTTGCAACAAACCGATCTTGCTGGCGTCGGCGGCTGTCACGCACCCCAAAGGTGTATTAAGAACGCACGCACGCGCGTGCGCAAAGCACGGCGAGCACGCGCACGCACGCGGAGGAGGAGGTGTGGGTAGAGACTCCGCGTCATCCGGCAACAGCCCCCCCCCCGCCTACCCCCAGGGTTCCCAGCGGTTACTGCCTCTGAACTTTGACCTGTGAGCCACCTGGCCAACTTGTCAGCAGCTTCTTCATACAAAACAAAAAGACGCGGGTCTATTTTGGATAAATTATAATAACAATAATGTGTTCAAGTGTATCAGTCGAAGGGACATCTGAAACCAGCGTTTACCGCCCACGTAAAAGGAAAAAAACCCCAGGACCATTTTAAACTTTCTGAGTCTCATCAGCAGGATGCGGCCTGATGAAACAGCCAAGTGTATGTGTAAATCAGTGCAGACCTTTTTGTCAATCCATTGCTGGATGAAGGCCTCCCTACGCCACTCGTGAAGGTTATTTGACCACACGTCACCACACTAGTCAATGCTGGTTCGAGTGGGGCGCGTATACATTGGCGTACAATATAGGACAACGATTAATTTGTTACTGCATTGCCTTCTCCCTACAGCGTAGACCCCCCCCCCCCACCACAGAAGCCTACAACATACTCTTTGGTTCTTTCGGTAAAGTCACATAGGTAAAAACAATTTTGCTATGCAAGTTACACCTGATGACGGAAGCTTGTGTTACCTCCGAGACGTCGTGATTTGATTATTATTTTTCCTACGTGACTTTACCGAAAGAACCAAAGAGCATGGATCATTGCAGTCACGAAAACTTCAAATCTAGAAGTCTACAACACTTGTTGTGGTTTTTTTGTGTGTTTTGGCACGCACCCATTCAAGCACGAGCCAGGCTCAAACGCCTGCTTAGCGTGCTGCTCACTGTCCTCTCCACCCTTGGATATCCGTCCACCGCGGAGACGGAGCGATGAAATCGGCTCACGTGCAGGTGCGTTGGCGGGTGTAATGACAAGACCTTCAGAGGTGGCGGCTGCCATGTGGGAAGCATTGATCTAGCAGTGGATTGAGCATGCCTTGATGATGATCTACATCCCTTTAATCATCAATTATCACCCTTAACAGTGCCACATTCCACCTAACGCCCACACTCGCATCGGGTGTTTTTTTTTATCGCGATTGTTCCGTCTCCAGCTTTTAGAAGTTCACTGCGTAATGAATATCATACTTTGGCAATGGTGGGCCCCCTCCCACCCCATTCCCCCCAGCCCCCACCCAACGCTGACTTCTCTCGAGATTCCTGCCAATTCTCAATTGAATTCCCATCTGCCGCCGCGGCATAAGAAATAGGAATTAAGGCGAGCTCGGTGCGGTGGGGGAGCAATACTTCTCTGTATGCCTCTATTGTCCCTGGAGCAAATAATTTATGTTTCCACCTGCAGCACACCGACTATGATTTCCAGCTGTCAAATGATCAAATATAGAAATTTATTTTGTTTAAAGTACCATGTATAAACTGCCTGCTAAATCTAAAAACACGTGTGCGCGCCTCTGTGTGCCCGTGATTTTTATGAACATAATATTATATGCAGACGTGAAACTCGCGACTTGTGTAAAGGGGCAAGCCAATACCAGGAGGCGTAACGATGGATCGTTTCAGCGATTAATTACTGTGACTGCACACTTACGTTGATCACAGTCGATCGGCAGGTCGCGTGCGGGTCGGGTAAAGTGTGGGTGCTGCCGATTGTGTCAGGAGACGAAGAATCCGTTCAAAACTCTCACGGAACAGAGTTGTATCACGCCGCGTCAGAAAAATATTCCGCGGATGCGGATATCAACAGAGCTACTTCTGGGATAATCTGAAGTGGACTCTCGTCCACACAGCAGGGGGCAGCACATCCCCACCTGCTCCAGAGAGTAATGTTCATTGCAGGTCAGTGACAACACTCGATTTTATTGTCAGAGCTGAAATGTTGCCAAATCATGTCCAGAACCAAATGTAATGTGATACGCTCTTTTTAGTCTTTGGTTACCGGGCAAAGACCATCATCTTGCTTCAAGCGAGTTTAAACAAATAAACAAATACTGATACCCGCGTTGGTATCGGTGCACAAATAACAAAAAAGACATTCGTCAATAACACCGTGGCCCTAAATTGAAAGGCACACAATAAGCAACATTTATGGGCAATGACCCGTTTTCACAGTCATCTCGGTGCCATGACGAAGGGACACTGCCCGTAATGCCACGTGTTATACACGTCACGTGAGCACTCAGGTCGTCTCGAGTCAAACCTATGCCGTCGACGATATGTAGGCTAGCACGCCTGGTATGCAGGAGGTCGTGGGTGCGATCCCGACCCTGACGCCTGTTTATTTGCAATTTACATGTTCTCCCCGTGATCGCATGGATTTTTTTCCAGGCCCTCCGGTTTTTTCCCTCTACATTTAGAACCAACATCATGCGTTTAGAGTATTTGGCTGCTATAAAAAAAATTCCACGCGATAAGCCACCTCGTTAAGCTATCATTTGTGGCCAGGTTGCTTCTGAAAATTATTTCTATAGCCTCAATGAACCTTACTTAGCAAAAGAATATATATATAGTTTAACCGTAAAAAAATAAAATTTGGGAGCTGCCAGCTGAGCGCACGCGCGCGCTTTGACCACGGAGTCGCCACAGGGTCCCGTGGTCACATCCCCACGGGAGCAGGAGTCCTCGCGGCTTGCCCGGGGTGTGTGTGGCGCCTGCCCCCTTGGGCTGGAAACCGGCAATGCCCAACGCACGTTAAATCACAAACCGCCCAGCCTCCACTCGTCCAGCACAACTACGGGCAGCCAACGAACTAAGCATTCCGTAAGCTCACCCGCGCACCCACCCAGCCAGTCACGAGTCACGTACCGAGCCAGCCAAACGCACGACTCGTGCCAAGTCACCAAGATAGCTGCTCAATCCACCCACGTGCCCAGTTCACCAGCTAAACAACCAACAGCCAGTAAAACATTCAGTCATGCAGGCATACACCTAGTTTTACCATCCAACAGCCACTCGTATTACACACACAGTTTGTTTTTGTACCCCAACAACCGCCGATCGTCATTAAGTGCCGGGGACATCACCGCGGCGCTTGTGCCATGCCAGGTGCACTTTGAGGCCTCGTGAAGTGTCGAAGGCCCCCTGGCAGGAGGTCACGGAACAGACCCAGGTGCCACGGCTTGACTAACTGAGACGGCTGATGCATCAGCTGTTGATAGTTAAGTTTCTTATTTTTGGGACTCATCCTCGCGGCTCGGCCAGATCGAGTTACGTCCGTGAAGCAACATCTAGCGCTGCGTGCACCCCCCCTCCCCACCTCGATCGGCGAGCGTCCAACACGTGCGTGACCACTGTAGAAGTATGGGGGGCGGCTGACTAAGCGAACGGTTCGCGGTTAAATTACGCAAAGGGGATACGCAAAATTATACCCACCCCCCCCCCCCACCCCACAACCACCACACTTTCGAAATGTACTGTCCTATAATTATATAAAATCGCATCCTGGTACGGCAAAGACCTTGAGACCGGATGGTGGGAGGACTGCCAGCGCAGACCTTGGGTTGTCGCGTGCCCACTGCGTCGCAGCTACCGGGGATCTGGCGTCTGCAGCGAGGGATAGAGGTGGCACCAACGACACCTTGGCCACGGTGACCTCTCGACCCTGACCGGCTGCTGACTCGGGGCTGAGCCTCCCCGACTGTTGACCAGCTGCTCTGTATTTCAAGACCAGGGGCTCCGTCGTCAGCACAATATCGGTATTCGTGCCACCTTGTCGAAGGTAACCGTGATCGATTTAAAAAATGTTGTAAACAATTTCGGGGGTGGGGGTGTTGTCTCTTCATCATAATATCTACACAATTGGGATATTCGCCCCCTTCCCTCGCCGCCTGTTCCCACGGCACTGACGCCGGCTGCACCCCTCTGCTGCACAAATCGTATGCTGGGCGACTGCTGCACGTGACCGACCCAACTCGAATTGGACCTCCCGACAGCCGTGGCTCGCAACTGCGTGGACCGTTGCCGTCCATAGATCCACGGACGCCCGACAGAGGTCTCAGCAATGGCGGCCGGCGGGTAAATATCGTGGAGGGGCACGGTGGTGGTGGTGGTGGGGTGGGGGTGGAGGGAGACGGGGTTCCATCGTATACTGCATCGTGGTCAAGATCTAAAATACACCGAAGTGACTGACAAGCCTGTGTGCAGTAAGACACAGCGGGGCAAAGGGTGAAGACCCCTGTGTTTTGCCCCTAATGACCGGCCACCAACTCTTAAGCGTGGCCTGGTTTGAAGTGTGTTTGGGCATTCTTAACCGCGAGGGCGTGGGTGGGGGTCGTGTCGGGGTGGGGGGGGGGGGGGTTATGTGGGGGGGGGGGGGGGTCACGACAGACAATGATAAATGCCACACGAAGTGACCAGTGGTCCGATCCGCCCGCGTCCCGCCGTGCATTCTGCCCTGGATCTCACCCACTTTGCAGACGAGAGAAAATCTGCGAGGTTCACCGCTTAATTTTTTCTACTCATTTTGTGCTGCCAATGTTTTAATTAATCATCAGAATTTAGAAGGGTGGTGCTAGCCTGCCTATTCCACCACGACCACCACCCAACCTCATCCCCCGACTCTACGGGGATTCCGTCCGCTACTGGGACTCAGGTACGTGGTGACGACTCACAGCTCTCGTTCAGTGAATTGCGCGCAGGGTTGGTGGATCGCGTAAGGATTGCACCATCGAGTAAGTGAGTGAGACGCCCACTCACTTACAAAGTTCGGGTTGGGTGCCAGTAGGATTCTGACTGCCAGTTGGAGGGATTTTAGTGTTATCCCCTCGCATGCGTGGATTTTATCTGGGCATTCCAGCTTCCACGCACATGCAAAGTAGTAAACCTGACAAGTCGGTATCAATCCATGCTGTTAAAAATATACAAGGTGACGTTTCGGGCCATGGCCATTCTTCATAGCACATGCACGTGGTGCTATGAATGGCTGTTCGTTGCACACTTTCCCGTTAGAATCTTCTTTCAATCCGCAAATCTTGTGAGTACTGGGTCGTACGAATGACCTTTGAACTTCATTCGGCATCGTCCGCGACTACCCGGTCACTTTTGACCCCAGCAAATGAACCAAATTCTAATGTCAGAGATGTACACTCATCACATTAGATCAATAATGCAATGTGCACTATATGGACACGTACGGCCCTTTAGTCAAAACACTATTGGATGAAAGCCTGGCCACACCCCTGCAGGTTGTGAGGTTTATTTGACCATACTTCACCACACTGGTCAGCGCGAGGTCGTCGGTTCAATGCAATCTTCAGGGCGTGGCAGTTGAAACATTGGCCAAATGTCTGAAGTCATCCCTGTGGTCACCCTTCTTCACAAACCTGCAATGAGCAATGCTGCGGGTGGTGAAATTTAGGTAAAAAAATATAATAAATGTCATTTATCAGGTAAGGCCCACTGAGCTGTATAGCTGCTTTTGAGAAGGGACCTGGCCATAATTGAAAGCTCAATAAAGTGGCTTTACCACGTGGACATTTATAGCAGCCAAATACTCTAAGCGCATGTTTTTTTTTAAATGTGGAGGGAAAACCCGGAGTACCCGAAGAAAAACTCACGCGACCACGGGGAGAGACAGTCACGCAAACTCCAAATATACAGGCGTCAGGGTTGGGATTAAACCCACGACCTCCTGTATACCGGGCGATGTAGTCAGCATCTCGCCACCGTGGCGCCCCAAAACACAACCACCGCAAACCAGCACAGCACGGTGGAGGTCTCCATCCAGCAGTGGACTTAAAAAGGTGTGCAAGCAACGACAACAAAAATTACGTCGATAAACCTCAACCGGCGATGAACTCTTGAACCTGCTCCCGCTTTGCACGCGCGTGCTCTATAGAGGAGGGAGCGTAATGAGCGCGTGGGACACGTCGACAAATGCGGAAGGTGACGCTGCCGTTTGCAAGGAGGTGACCTTTACCTGGGTTGACCCGCACTCAGAGGGGCAGTGCCAGCTCTTGGCCAATCCAGCTTCTGCCGCTTATCGCTCTTGCATTAGCTGTGACCAAGAAGGAAAAAAAAAACATTCAACTTTATTTTCTGTGTGTATGACTTTACTTCAAGGATACAGAATATATATTTTTTTTTGTCAAGCACAGGCCCCCAAAAAACAAACATGCCAAGTGGCCAGCAACACGATTCACGACTAAAGTTGTAATGGGTAAGAGTTGAGGGCGCTTGTCTCTGGACTGAGCAAAGTTATTTTTGTAAGAGCTCGCGTAAGGAGACGGTTCTGGGAGGTTAGGCCAGAGCGCAGCAATGCAAGAGATGACGCTGAGGGAGACGTGTTTGGAGTGAGTGAAGAAGTGCGTGGAAGAATGGGTAGGTGATTGGGTGAATGAGTAAGTGAGTTGTTGTGACCTGCAGCGTGGTGGTGGTGGTGGTGCTGGTGCTGGTGGTTGAACACAATGTGGTGAGTGGGTGAGTGAATAATCACATAACCAAACCGGCAATGGATACCCATTGTCATTTACAGAATATGTATTAATTAATCTCCCCCCCCCCCCCCCCCCCCCCCCCACATCGCTCAAGAAGTGATCACAAATGACGTCATCACATCTCCCCCTCTATTTAAGGAACAAAACAGGAGGATTTCTCCACAAATCTAGCTGTCGCCTGATGAAGCTAGTTGTAATTACTGGCAAAACTTCGTACTCAGATTGTAAATGTTGTGGCTTTGCTCTCCAACACACCGGTGTGCTGTACGAGTGACGAATTGACATGTTCTGTCTTGACTTAAAACTTTCGTGACTGCAGGAATTCATATTATTTGGTTCTTTCGGTAAAGTCACGTAGATAGAAAAAATATAATGATAAAAATGAAGTGAATCAAAAATACAAATAATAAACAACAAAAAACACTCATGTAGACTATAGCCTAGTTCTTTACCTGAGTGAGCGTAGTGGCAGTCTATAATGTAGACATTCTTGGTTCTTTCAGTCATTTAAATTTAAAACAAATATAATAAAATATATAAATTAAACAATTATTTGTTTCTATTTTTATTATTATATTTAAATTACTGAAATAACTAAGAATACGTCTACGTTATAGACTGCCAGTACGCTCGCTCAGGTTAAGAACCAGGCTACAGTCTACATTATAGACTGCCAGTACGCTCACTCAGTTTAATAACCATTGCTACAGTCTACATCATAGACTGCCAATACGCTCACCAGCTTAAAAACCAGGCTACAGTCTACATTATAGACTGCGAGTCCACTCACCGAGGTTAAGAACCAGGCTACAGTCTATATTATAAACTGCCAGTACACTCACCCAGCTTAATAACCATTGCTACAGTCTACATTCTAAATTTCCAGTACACTCAATCAGATTAAGAATCAGGCTACAGTCTACATTAGTGTTTTTTTGTTGTTTATTATTTTTATTTTTATTATTTTTATTCACTGTATTTTCATTATTATTTTTCTATCTACGTAACTTTACCGAAAGAACCAAAGAATATGGCATATTATATTTAAGTGACAACCTTTACTAATTGGCTGTGTCAAGTGGTGGCGAGTTTAACGACACATTTATATATTTACGCGATCTAACCCAAAAAAACCTGTATTATGGATGAATGTGCTGTTGTGACCTGCAGTGTGTTGGTGGTTGAACACAGTGTGGTGAGTGGGTGAGTGACTGAGATGAAACACATTAAACGTTTGCAATAGTCCGGAGAATAATATGAGATAGTTATTCAATCAAGCCAAGAAAGCCTTGCTATATCTCAAGACTCGTATTCAGTAAGGGGGTGGGGGGGGGGGTGTTGTGCATTGGAATGTTTGGCCAATGCCGTGAATAAGTGCCGGATAAAACCTCACCACGCATACGGAAGGGTGGCACGGCCACCACCAGCCCAACTCGCAGCTCCAGTCCGACAAGCAAGCAGTACGTCCTGGCAATCAAACTATAAACATTTTTGTCGTTACAAAATGTTAAACTATTTTTCAGTTTTTTTTTTCAGGTAAGGCCCACTTGAGCTATGAGCCCTTTTTCACGACGCGATCTGGCCACAAACTATATGCTCAACGAAAAGTGGCTTTTCCTCGTGGAATTTTACGGCAGCCAAATACTCTCCCATTTTAGTGCCGCCGAGGCTCAAAACGAGCTTGGAGTTCCCAGCTCTGGCAACATTGGGTGCGTTCACGGTCATCTGGAAGTATGAAAGTAAGAGGCAAAGTCACCGTCACAAGCATTTAAAGTGACCAAAGGAACAGGTGACCAGGTGACCCAAGGGTCAGAGCACCGCTGAGAACGTCGGATCGAATCCAGATTCAGCCACACGTGACTCTTATAAGTTGATGACTGTGCACACAGAAACAAATCTATCAAAAGGTTAAACTTGGGTCCCCCCCCTCCCAATTTGACTGAATAAATGTTCGTTATTACTGACGTGCAACGAACGAATGGGAAAGTGCTGCCCCCTAATGTACGGGTCTTACTTGTGCAATTTGTATTGATCAGTATACAGTATACTCTTTGGTTCTTTCGGTAAAGTCACGTAGGTATAAAATAAAATAAATCACGACGTTTCGATCGCAACACCAGCGACCGTCATCAGGTGGAATAGATACAGCAGGATAACTTCTGACATCGGAGAACTGACTGTGATGTTTCCATCCTACCTGCCTGTTTCAGCTGTTATTTCCGACTCTCCGAGTACACCACCAGGCTAAATATCTGTGAGGCAGCCCAGGCACAGGATTCCCACCACCCCCGGTGGCTGGGACCGGCTCACATTGACATGCTAATCTCTCACTTTTACGTACAAATTCCTTTTATAGCTCCTCCCTACTTATCATTGGATTGAGCCCACCAAAATCCGATATAAACTCTTGTTGCAGCAGCTCTTTCTCCTATGTCAGCAGTTCTCCTGCTGTATCTGTTCCACCTGATGACGGTCGCTTGTGCTGCGATCGAAACGTCGTGATTTAATTAATTTATTTAAACCTACCTGACTTTACCGAAAGAACCAAAGAGTAGGGATCAATATGATGAAAAAAGAAAAGGCTTTTGTGTATGTATGTTGAACCGTATGTAGCCAGCCGTGCTAATCGACAATGCTACACGTATGAAGATGTTCAAACACCAAAAGACACCACCTACATTAACACCTCCTGTATTATTGCCGGGAATGGGAAGCTCCATTACTTTTTTCATCATAAATAATCCAATCTATTTGTTTGAGCATTAATCTATATATTTTAAAAAAATGATGTAACCGTACGAGATGCGAGTGAGATTCATCATCTCTTCTTGCAGGTGAGAGCTAGTGATATTAGCAATGTTTTTTTTTTCTCATAATTTTTCAAGTGCAACGTAGGGATATGAGTAATGACATTGGCACATAATGGAATATCCATTAACATTACGTCAGGAGGCATTTAACAGCCCACGAAAAGAACACTCTGTAATCACATATTTCACCGGGTGGAGCGGTGGCACCGTGATTATTGCCCTGAACTATTTACCCAGAAAAGCAGAGTTAGATGCCTGACTACGACTCGCATCAGGTGGCGAGCGATGCATGCACCGCTTCTGACTCCTGCCATCGCTACCAACCCGCAATGACCAGCGTGGGGAAGTATAGTGCAGCAACATTCACAGCTTACAAGGCACGGGGATACCATGTATGTGCATACTTACGTTGAACTTCTTTCGTACTGTACGTAGCCAACCGCGCTAATTAGAGGTGCCTTCACCACCCGCGAATGAACAAATGGCTGTAAATTACTACGTCTCCTTTCACATTTTCACACGATTCATGGCATGCTGTTAGCGCACGAGACACGCACACCAGAGGTCACATTTTTCCATTCGATCTCCCAGCGCAGCAGTTGAAACAACGGTCCAATATTCTTCAATCACCCCCACCCACCCACCACCTCTGTCTGCCCGGCAGTGTCAATGGGTGTGCCACACACAGTGAGTCAATCGGCAGGTCGCGTCGCGTGTGGTGGGGTAAAGTGTGGGCACGGCCACCTCTTCTGGGACGTCTGACCCAGTGTGGAAGAGTGGGCCGAATAGCCTGTACAGGTGCTCTCTCGAGATGCCCTCTAGTGCGCGGGACACTTCTGCCAACAGTGGCACGAACAAATAATTGCAGGGCTACACATTTACCTGTTTACAGTTCATGGGGTGGTGTAGAGGTTAGCTCGATACATTATGACACCGCTGACTCGAGTCCAGTTGCCGGCCAAGGTTAACATCAATATCAGATGATATCACAACGTATCCATGGTCCAAATTTCACCAATCCGCTCTGACTAGCATGGCGAAGTAGCATCCATCAGCGTACCGACACACGGCTGTAAATGTCTTTATTCACTATTATTCAAATTTGAACAAATGCTGTTGCGTAACATATGAGTGCGTATTAACGCCTCATTTCCTGCATTTGCATGTATTTCTTCATTCAAACGTTTCTGTGACTATGACTATGTTAAGCTTTATCTTGCAATATGTGTTGTAAAGATGAGCCCGAACTGTGACATTATTTGGTGATGCCGCGTTGGCTGTGGTACACAAATTACAATTGACACGTCAGGTCGGTTGGGTGGATGGTTGCTAATCTGACTCCAGAGATTAGGCGGGCAAGGTGCCCGATCCATGCCTTTGAGACATGCGTCCATTCAGCCGCTCCTCCAGCGATTGCACGGCAGAGTCGCAATTCGGGCGACGCAATCCAAGAACCGAAATACGAGAATCCGAGAACATCTACAGCAGTGGGTTCTTCACCTTTATTGCAGCCTTTCGCTCCTTTGCTTCTCATTCATAAAACAATGTATAATGGTAATGCATACGCAGGGGGTGATTGAACAAAGTAGTTGTACTTACGTGCCTGTGCTTAATTTGTGTTTTCGATTATTTTCCTTAAAAAACAAAATCAGCCAATGTCTCGAAACCCCCCCCCCCCCCCTAAGGGGATACGTGCACCCCAGGTGAAGAACCACTGGTCTAGATCATCTCAAAATACTGTTTCGTCAAACAATGCGTTTGTGTTGCTGAACAGGGCCCTGTTGTGACGGTGGATAATGACCATTGCCAGGGATAAACCTGGCATACACTTAACGATCCTCATTTCGCTGATAAGACCCAGCAAGTTAAAACCCGGCTGCTTAAAACGCATGCTACCGTATTACATTTGTCCAGAACGTGCACACGCCGATTCTAAAATATATATGTACACTGTATTGGTTTCTCGGAGTTGATGTGTGGGAGGCAGCTGATAGTCTGCTTAATTATTATCAAAGTACCTTATTGCATTATCGACCGAGATAACTCGAACAGCCAGAAGGGGTTTTTTTTGTCAACATCCTTCCCGCTGAAGGTGACCTCCGGCGTCACTCGTCATCACATGAATGGTCCACCCCGCGCAACCTCCCTCCGCTCTGTCCTAAACGCGACAAAGGGTGAAAAGTTTACGCAACTTCCCAACATTACCGTGCACCCACCTCTAAAGCCGCTCCGTCGCAACACATACACGTGAGCGCCACTGGCAATGAACACAGGGGCACCTTACCTGGTGAGTTCATAGACCTTTATCAGCAAGGCCACATGTGAGGGTTTACCCATAGAGCGAATGCACCACCAACTGCGCATTTTCCCACTCGCACCTCTCTCGCGCCCGACTCGAGACTATTTAAGCACGGGGCTGCAGACGGCAGGGACCAGCTTCAGATTTGCTGCGCGCGAGGTGAGCGACTGAGCGCGGAGGGTGACTACCAAGCGATTGTTGGCTCGGAGCGATGGCTCACAGCGAGCAATGACTCCAGACTGGTCAGGAAGGGTGCAATCGCGTCTTGACGATCTCGCTCTCTCCCTCTCTCTCTCTCGAGTTCTCTCGAATGTTTTTTTTCGGGTTTGTGCGGCAGGTTTTATTTGGCGTTTCACTCCATATGCTCGGTGCTCTCTTCAGGAATCCGCTTTGGTCTTATTCTTCAAAGTATGAAGCTCCCAGCACGTGGCGCAAAACGTCGGGCACCGTGCCGAACGGTTCGGGCACGAGAACTCTTCGGCACAACCGCGATAACCCACGCAGTGGTTATTAACCGATCTCCATTCACCTCGGAGGAGGTTTGGCTCAGCGATAAGGGGCCGTTAATAAATGACGTCACGCACCTGGAGGAGGGGGGGGGGTCAGACATTTGTGACGATGTGTGACGAGGGGGGGGGGGGAGTTTGAGAAATGTGACGTCACATCAAAATGCTAAACTTTAAATAAATATAGACAACACGTTTTGCTTAATTGAATAGACTTTTTAATAAATGTTTTCTCCTACAACATCAGAGTGCAGCGCCACATTAAATACGCAGTACAATGACAATAGTTTAAAGCGATTTGAAGCATCTTTTATTTGGGGAGGAGGGGGGGCAGAGCTCTGTGACGTCATATTTAAGGGGGGGTCAGACTTTTTGTGACGCCGTGTGACTAGGGGGGGGGGAGGTCAAAAATCGTCCAAAATCGCGTGACGTCATTTATGTACAGCCACCTAAGCCTAAAAGATGGGAGGAGGTGGGGTCTATGGTGTCAGAAGCATCGCAAAGGTCTAAACGAACTGGGCGTGAGAGAGGGATCCACGTTCTGAGAGAGGGTGTTCATTGGCCACACGTAGGAGAGCAGAATGGCATGTGGAAACTAGACTGTCCTTGGTCATGGAGACCATGGAAAGGGAGGTATTCGGAGAGATGGGAGATGATCCGTTCTAGAACTTTTCCAAAGGAGTGGAGGTTTGAGATGGGATAACACATTTGCAGGTATGTTGGGGTCCAATGTCGGTGTATTTGTCGCGGGATGGGAGTGACATCAGCAGCAGTCTTGAGAATTAAGGCAACAGTACTGGATGTAAACAGAGGCTAGACACTATGGTAACTGAAATTAATTACTTTTTTTCCAGAATGTGATCAACAGTAGTGCACTGGTATGTGGTCAACGGTAGAGGAACCTTTCATAAGAGGCACAAAACTCCGTGGTATTTCAAGTCGGTCGCAGCACCGTTCGTGAATAGAAGCGATTGCTACGTCATTTCGTGATTGCGGGATTCCATTTCTGCGTAAACATCGAGTGAACAATTCCGCTACTTTTGTTCCAACAACTGGTCCCGCTTCTTTGACAATGACGATCGTGTCGGTCACTCCGCTGTCTCGTCACTCATTCTGCTGACGACTCGACCAAACGCACCACAGTCGCCCGCCACCACTCACTCTCTGGGACGTGCGTTAAGAACGAACGAACGAACGATTGATCGATCGATGGATCTATGGATCGCTCACCTCCTCGTCCCCTCCCGCCGACGCCAGGTGGAGCATGAAGGCCCTGCTGCTGCTGACGTTCGTGGGCCTGGCCTGGGGCCAGTGGCACCCCAACGCCCACGACGGGCGTCACACCATGGTGCACTTGTTCGAGTGGAGGTGGGTGGACATCGCCGCCGAGTGCGAGCGCTGGCTCGGGCCCAACGGATTCGCCGGCGTCCAGGTGAGTGCGGTACAGGTGTGGGGGGCGAGCGAGGGCGCGCAGGTTGAGGGTACTGGAGGTGTGTGGCGGTGGGGTGGGAGGGGTGGGGTGTGACCAGGTGAGAGTGGTGGAGATGTGAGTGGGGTGTGCAGGCGAGGGTGCTGGAGGTGTGGAGGCGGGCGAAGTGTGCAGGTAAGGGTGACATTATGCAATGTTTATGCTTGTTTAAGCAAACAATGAAGGGATACATATTAAAATGGGAAGCAGATAAGGGTGGAAAGTCAGAGTAAATAAAAAAACAGAGAGATGGATGGATGGAGGAGGAGGTGATGATGGGTGGGACACGTGTGCAGGATGGAGGAGGTGATGATGGGTGGGACACGTGTAGGATGGAGGAGGTGATGATGTGTGGACGCGTGTGCAGGATGGAAGAGGTGATGATGGGTGGGACACGTGTGTAGGATGGAGGAGGTGATGATGGGTGGGACGCGTGTGCAGGATGGAGGAGGTGATGATGGGTGGGACGCGTGTGCAGGATGGAGGAGGTGATGATGGGTGGGACACGTGTGCAGGATGGAGGAGGTGATGATGGGTGGGACGCGTGTGCAGGATGGAGGAGGAGGTGATGATGGGTGGGACGCGTGTGAAGGATGGAAGAAGAGGTGATGATGGGTGGGACGCGTGTGAAGGATGGAAGAGGTGATGATGGGTGGGACGCGTGTGAAGGATGGAAGAGGTGATGATGGGTGGGACGCGTGTGCAGGATGGAGGAGGTGATGATGGGTGGGACACGTGTGCAGGATGGAGGAGGTGATGATGGGTGGGACGCGTGTGCAGGATGGAAGAGGAGGTGATGATGGGTGGGACGCGTGTGAAGGATGGAAGAGGTGATGATGGGTGGGACGCGTGTGAAGGATGGAAGAGGTGATGATGGGTGGGACACGTGTGCAGGATGGAGGAGGGAAAGTTACCGAGATGGGCTGTTGAGTGTCACCCAGAGGTTGGCGATTCAGGGAGAAGATCTAAAGCCAGCTGATGTGGCCATTAGATCGTAGGAGCGGGCCCTAAAGAACGCGTTGACTGTGTAACAAAAATGAAAACAAACAAGTGAAATGGTGGTGGTGGTGGGTGAGACCGTAAGAGTGTTTTCTTAACGCATCTAATGCAACCACGTCTCAAGGCACTCTACAGAAAACAGTGGACATAGTCTTTCCATAAAAACAGTGGGCATAGTCACTCTATATAAACAGTTGGTATAGTCATTCTATAAAAACGGTGGGTATAATCAGTCGTTCATCGGGAGCTTTACAAAAGGACGGTCTTGAGCCCTGACTTGAACAGGGGGCTGGGGTGGCAGGGGGGGGAGGGAGTTCCAGACATTGGGGGCAGCAGAGGAGAAGGAGTGACCCTGGAGGCTTGGCGTTAACTTTTCACCTGTGGCGGGATCGAGCAAGAGGGCGGAGGTGACGGCCAAGGTGAGGCGCCATTGAGCATTCGCCATGGTGACCTCCACATTCAAAGACAAATATCCGCTCTCCGTACAGCCTTAACAGACTGTTGGGGCGAGTGCTGTTAGCGAGTGGCACCTATGAAGGCCGGCTCGGCACACTAGGGGGTGGTTGACCAGCAACCACGCCCACACGTCCACCACCTTCTCTCTGCCCTTGTCCACACCACAACAACCGCAGGTGTCTCCCCCCAACGAGAACATCGTGATCAACAGCCCCTGGCGTCCGTGGTGGGAGCGTTACCAGCCCATCAGCTACAACCTGTGCTCGCGCTCGGGCAGCGATTCCGAGTTCCGCGACATGGTGCACCGCTGCAACAACGCCGGGGTGAGGCGCGGGACGTGGTGGGAGCGATTTCGGATAAACTAAAAACTAATTTTGGTTTTATATATATAAACTCAACAATTGCTTTCATATAAACTAAACTATTTTAATTTTTACCAGGTAAGGCCCCACTTAGCTTCATAGCTGTTTGTTTCAGAAGCGATCTGGCTATCACAAATGATAGCTCAACGAAGTGGCTTATCATCATCGCTTGGAAATGTCTCGCGGCCAAATACTCTGAAAGCGTGATGTTGATTCTAAATGTGGAGGGGAAAGCCCGGAGGGCCCGGAGATGAATCCACACGGAAACGGAGAGAACACGCAAACTCCAAATAGACAGGCTTCAGGGTCGGGATCGAACCCACGACCTCCTTTATACCAGGCGAGGCAATTACCATCTTTTTTTTCGATTTAAAGCTTTCGTGACTGCAAGGATTCATCTTCTTGGTTCTTTCGGTAAAGTCACGTATAGGATGGAAATAAAATATTATTATTTAATAAAAGAAAATATTATTATTTTATTTAAATTATTTTATTTAAAATATTATTATTGTATTTCCATCCTACGTGACTTTACCGAAAGAACCAAGAAGAATTACCATCTTGTCACCATGGCAACAACAACTCTCTCACCCAGTCTTCTTCACCAACTTTCAGAGGGAGGGCACACTTTCGCTGATAAGACATCATCAGTATGAGGACCGCCACACATTTGAAACTATTGGGGTTTGACAGCAGCACGGCGATGATGATTGTGTTTTCACATTTGTGTATTGTCGGGGACATGTTTAGAGTTTAGAGTATTAACCACCAAGCATCCGTGTACAAGGTTACAAGGTCAAGTGATATTTACGCCGGGCTACGATGAGGGGTTGGTGGGGCGAGGGTAAATTGGATAGAGGGCCCCATTGCATTACCTGCACCAGGGCCCATGCCAACCGCTCTATGCCACTTGACCTGCTCCGTAATTTTACAGCCATGCGCCCCACGGTAGCCCGAGTGGCCCAGGGGTCAGAGCGCTGAGCTGGCACGGTTGAGTCCCTGGGTACCAATCCAGGCCTGTGGTTAAACCTGGTTCTGAAGGGTATTTGAGTTTATGGTCCTCAGCCCGGTCACCAAAGACTGACTACACACAAAAACCCTGCAACTTAAACTGGCTTACTTCAAGCTCTGAGAATTACATATCGGGTTGACTGTCATGCGATTCACATTTCTTTGATACGCAGAGCGGGTTGGCAAAAGAAGTGCTGCCCTCTAATGGAATGACCGGAGGTTACATGAAGTGGTGTCAGATGCAGCTCTGTGATATCCGCTCCCGTGAGCCGCTACCGTAAGCCGTTCTCTTGCTCTGCTCGAGATCCGCATGGACGGCTGCGTTTCACGACGTGGCGACGTCTGCCCCAATCAAACCAACCACATGCCTGAACCCTCCCCCTCCTATCCCCCCCCCGCCCGTCCCTCCCCCGCAGGTTCGCATCTACGTTGACGCCATCATCAATCACATGTGCGGCGATGGCGGCGGCTCGGGCACGCATGCCACGTGCGGCAGTTACTTCGACGCCGGGCGCCGTGAGTTCTCGGCCGTGCCCTACTCGTCCGTGGACTTTAACGATGGGAAGTGCGGCACCTCCAGCGGCCAGATTGAGAACTACAACGACAAGTACCAGGTGCGCTGTGGTGACGGAATCGACATTAAACTATTCAACTATTTTTTTTATTTTAAAAGGTAATGTCCACTGACCTATAGAGTTTTTTTTTTCAGAAGCGACCTGGCCACAAATTATATCTCAACGAAGTGGCTTATCATCACGTGGACATTTATAGAAGCCAAGTGCTCTAAACGCATGTTAATTATGGAGGGGAAAACCAGAGGACCCGGAGAAAAATCCACACGACCATGGGGAGAGAGACATGCAAACTCCAAATATACAGGCGTCACGGTCGGAATCGAACCATGACCTCCTGCATACCAGTCGTGGGAGATAACATGTTGCCACCGTGACACCATAAGGGGACACTGGGCCATTGGGACTAGAGGCCGACCGAAATTCGGTTTCGGTTTCAGCGCCGAAAGTTGGCATACTTTCGGTTTCGAGCGAAAGTATTTTTTTTATTTTCGGTTTCGGACGAAACTGATATTGACTTTCGGTCATCATTCGACAACCGAAGATCTATTTTTAGAATAACGCTAGTGCTATGTCTATCACTCTGCCTATCGGCCGGTCAGTCGGCGCTAGGCAATCCTATGCGATAGGCTGCAAACACAGTACACACACACACGTACACACATACACACACGTACACACATACACACACACGTCAGCAGCAGCTTGGGAGCGAGGTTACAGCTGCAACCATGGTCTGCTAATGTATATACGACCAGTCAACAGACGGCAGCCTGTCTAGCTGAATGAATACAACATTCGTTTGTTTGGATATAACTACTAAGTAACACCTAAAGATTTCATATTTAGCGACTCTTCCTGCAGGCTCTGAATGATAAGTTCTAGATTTCTTTTTAATTAAAGTAGCATTGCATCATGACATATTTCATGAATCTTGTGTTCGGTAACTTCGGTCATATACCTTTCTGTTTCGGTCTCGGTCGAAAGTGTCGTTAAACTTTCGGTTTCGGCTTCGGTTTCGGCCGAAAGTAAATTTTTTACTTTCGGTCTGGTTTCGGTTTCGGCTTCGGTTTCGGCCGAAACCAGAAATTCAGTTTCGGTCGGCCTCTAATTGGGACAGGGCCCCACGGCCCCAGTGGAGCAGGCCCCCCACTCATGAATCAAGGAAAAGAAAAACCGGGATACCTAACATGAGTTTGTATACAATACAGTATTGCTTCTTGCTTTTAGAAAGGCAACAAAGTTTATATGGGAGTGCTCTTGCCAATAACACCTGGTAACCCAGAAACATTTATTTAACTAAGCCCGATTCAGCTGAGGAGACCCAGAAGGTCGAAACCAGTCTGGAGTTTGCTTTCTTAAACCAAATACTGCTGAATAATATTAGTATGGAAAGCTTGTGTGTCTTTGCTCATTATAAAGATAAGAACAGAAATTTATTTTTGCTATATTGCCCTTCATGACGGGGCGACGTTTTAAAAGGGCACCTACGATAGCAGCTGTCTCTGTGCGGCAAAATGTGGCTCGGCACCAGCCCTGCAAGAGGTCATTAGTCTGCCAGCAGGGGGAGATGATTGCGATGTGTAATCGCAATTGAATAATTTGTGGGTAAATTTACATTTTTGGACCATGATGCCAGCACACAATGGCCTACCCCGTTTCAATCGACGTCAGGGGAAATGTTACGTCCACTGCGAGCGAAACGCACGGTAGCATTTTTAATGGCCAATACAGCAGGATTTGCCAGAGCGGCCTGTCGGATGCCAACCTAAAACCTCCACACCTCGATTAGTGCTGTTGGCTATGTACGGTGCTGTACTGACCCACGTGTTGAGTCGCTGTACTGACCCACGTGTTGAGTCGTATTGAGTTGCTGTACTCACGTGTTGAGTCGCTGTACCGACCCACGTGTTGAGTTGCTGTGTTCACCCACGTGTTGAGTCGTATTGAGTCACTGTACCGACCCACGTGTTGAGTTGCTGTGCTCACCCACGTGTTGAGTCGTATTGAGTCACTGTACCGACCCACGTGTTGAGTTGCTGTGCTCACCCACGTGTTGAGTCGTATTGAGTCGCTGTACCGACCCACGTATTGAGTTGCTGTACTCACCCACGTGTTGAGTCGCTGTACTGATCTACGGGCCGTCGCGCCACCACAGGTGCGCGACTGCAAGCTCGTGGGGCTGCTCGACCTGGCCCTGGAGAAGGACTACGTGCGTGGCAAGATCGCCGGCTTCCTCAACAACCTCATCGACATCGGCGTGGCTGGCTTCAGGTTCGACGCGTCCAAGCACATGTGGCCCGGAGACATCCAGGACATCGTGGGGCGTCTCAAGAATCTCAACTCGCAGTACTTCCCGTCCAACAGCAAGGCCTTCATCTTCCAGGAGGTGCGGGCCGCGGCGCCGACGCTGTGTGCTGCGCACGCGCGCGTGTGTGTCTTGTGGGGAGGGGTGGTGCAATGGTTAGCGCGCCATGCAACGAACCCTGCGACCCGAGTTCGATTCCCACTCGCGGCCAACACCAGTGACGATTATCTGAATCGGGCATGGGCCTGCCCAAGGTCAACTTAGCCTCAAATAAGTACCTGGTGCGATGTGCAAACATCGGCGCTGGAGAGATAAAGACGGCCACGTGTGGTGCTGGCCACACACCCCCTCGTGTGCCGTTCCGGCCTTCCTAGGTGCTCGCTGACAGGACTTGCCCCAACAGTCTGTTAAGGCTACACGGGGGATCTTTGTGTGTGGGAGGGGGGGGGGGAGTCGTGGGGGGAGACTGCGATGCTTCACATGGCCTCAATGTGCACCTAGATTGGCACAAACACCGTGGTGACATCACCGCCACTTGGTGGCGGATGGTGGCTGTAATTGTGAGAGTGGGCTCACCAGCTCTGCCGTGACACCGGCCTAACCCTGCAGGAGGCCTTCTACATAACGGTGGAATACAGGTACTTCTGATTGGTGCAATGGGCATTGGTCGCATACGCGTTCCCAATGATGATGAAGATATCTTTGCAGGTCATTGACCTTGGAGGAGAGGCTATCTCTGCATCCGAGTACTTTGGCATCGGCCGCGTGACCGAGTTCAAGTTCGGCGCCAAGCTGGGCGAGGTGGTGCGCAAATGGAATGGACAAAAGATGTCCTACCTCCAGTGAGTATCTTGCCAGGCCTCAGGGCCAGTCATACGACCTGGGTCTGCATCAGTACCACAGGGTAACCTTGTTTAATACAGCGGGGGTACAACACCATTGATGCCAAACCAACCTGACGTAAACACAAAGGTTTATCGGAGCCAATATCATGAATTGTAACTGATTTTGGGTTTGGCCTAAACCTAAAAATAAACTCTGAAACGCCATCAAAATGTTAATCGCTAAACAGAATGACTAACAATAGGATCTGCATTCTGCTCTGGCTCTCACCCCATGTATACGTGGAATGGCTGCGATGCCCATCGCTTAATTGTACTCAATTCATGCAATTAATTGTACTTCTCTGGCCCAGCTACTGTAGTTCGTATATAAAAGAGGTCAGCAACCTAGCAACCTACGGCTCCTGAAGGACGGCTTCGTGACGTCATTCACATGCATTCGTCTCTCGAAATATCGAGTTTCTTACCGAATTCGAAAAAAAATTGCCCTCGTTATTTTGGTTTCTGACCCAGGGTATATCATCACGCGAAGCTCGCACATTACAGGAAGGGGTACAGAAGAATATTGATCGTTACCTTGGTCATTCTGATCTAAATACATTCATTTTTTCATTTCATTTATTAGGTATAACCCTGTGAGCCATGCGGCTCTTGACTCGGGTGCAACCGCAACAAACAAAAACATGAACAAGAAACATCTTAAAGTGACTACACGCAACAGAAAAATCCAGGAAAAAACAGCAAAGTCTTCCAGAAAAAACACCGTATTTCAACACTGTGTGCAAAAATCCCAGTGGGATGCAAGTCAAACAATAACAACCATAACACAATTTATATTACAGTTATCAGGCTAACTCTGTACTACAACAAACAAACATGGCTAAACCAAAGCGTTTTCAAATCACCAAAATAAAGCTATAAAAACAATGTAACAGTGATCATAGGAACTGTGATTCAAATTTAACAATAAACGATATACATAACATGTACGACCAAACTTTGCAGCCATAGCTGGCTGCATGAGTCACTCCATAACAGGAGTATCAGTATAACACGTAGGCTTTCGCGACCAATATTATTAATAATAAAGGTTTTTGGGTTAGATCGCGTTATTTATAAATGTGTCGTAACCCTCCACCACCCGACACGGCCAATCAGCAAAAAAAGTGTCACGTTGACAAAAGACAATTAGTTCACTACTTTAGCCCACCGGTGTGTTGAAGAGTGAATCCACAACATTTACAGTTTGAATACGATGTTTCGCTGGTTATTACATCCAGCATCATCGGGCAATTCGCCAGAATGGTAAAGCCCTCACTTGCTCCCGGTCTTAAATAGAGCAGCAGGGTGACGTCATCATTTAACTCATTCAGGTGCAGTAATTATAAAATCGATTGGTAATCGGTCAATGGTTATGATTAGTAATGAGTGGTAATGTGTGTTATTGTGAATATATGCTACGTTAGTAATCCGTTAATTAGTATGTGTTTCCCCTATAAGGAATTGTAATATGTGTTATTTAATAATACACTTCCAAGCCGCACTAAGCCTATAGCTATCAGAGCGATTAAAGTTATTTTTATTTCTCTCAATTTCAATGGATTCTCTAATTAGTCTTTACCAGTAATAATTAGTTTTACACAACACTTCAACGTTATCAAAATCAATTGAGTGTCCTTGTTGACAAGCATGTTCTGCCACTGCCGACAGTTGTGTTTGAGATAATTTAATATTTCTTTGGTGTTCTTTTAGTCTTATGCTGATGTTACGTCCCGTCTGTCCATTATAGCATCTGCCACATAAACAATTAATCCGATATACACCTTCTGTTGATAATTTAGGTAATTCGTCTTTAGTGCAAGATACTAGTTTTTGAATTTTGTGTACTGTACCAAATCTTACTGTAATTTTTGCTTTTGCAAAACACAGGCTAATGTGTCAGTTACTCCTGAGATATATGGAATTTTAATTGTTTTAACAATCTGATCGCTTTCAGCAGTGTTGCTTTACTTTAGAACGTAAGACTACTGCAATAATTTCAAATTCATTAATCTCTAAGAATGAGCAACACCAAATTAAGCCAAGGGCCTCAAAACCACCTAGACTGTATGGGCTACCAAAGATTCATAAAATCGGCATCCCATTATGACCCATAGTCAGTACAATTGGCTCTGCCACTTATAAATTAGCAAAATATGTAACTAAACAAATACAGCCCTACATCGGTAGGACATCTTCATTCATAAGAAATTCAGAACATCTTGTGAATGTTATTAAAGATATTAAACTTAATCCTAATAATATTCTGGTAAGTTTTGATGTGATTTCTCTATTCACTAAGGTTCCAGTGAACGAATCTAACTCTGTACTACAACAAACATGGCTAAACCAAAACTTTTCAAATCACCAAAATAAAGCTATAAAAACAATGTAACAGTGATCATAGAAACTGTGATTCAAATTTAACAATAAACGATATACATAACATGTACATGATACATGATACACTAGTAAAGAATACAGGTTTATCCAAAAGAGATTCCGAAACTTGCTGACCATTGTTTAAATAACACTTACTTCTTATGGAGAGGGGATTTCTTTAAACCAAACGAAGGAGCAGCAATGAGCTCTCCTTTATCTCCTGCTATAGCAAATCTGTACATGGAAAACTTTGAAATAAGAGCACTTGCCTCGAGCACATTGAAACCATCTTTTTGGTTTAGATATGTGGATGACACTTTGGTTATCTGGCCACATGGTACAGATACTCTTAATGATTTTCTAAATCATCTCAATGCACAAAACCCGGCCATCCAGTTCACCATGGAAATGGAGGTGAATAACACACTCCCGTTCCTATATATTTTGCTTGGACATGGCCTAAATGGTAAAATAACACACAGCGTTTACAGAAAGCAAACGCACACTGATGCCTATCTGAATGCAGATTCGCATCATCATCCAGCTCAGAAATCCTCTCTTATCAAGACGCTCATACATCGGGCTAAAACAGTGTCAGATGGTGAAAGTCTAGTGAGAGAGATCAAACACGTTAAAGAAGCATTACGACAGAATGGCTACAATAATACTCACATTAACAGAGCACTGAATGCCAAATCACGATCGCAAAGCAACACTACTGAAAGCGGTCAGATTGTTAAAACAATTAAAATTCCATATATCTCAGGAGTAACTGATAAATAAGCCCGTGTTTTGCAAAACATTACAGTAAGATTTGGTACAGTACACAAAATTCAAAAACTAGTATCTTGCACTAAAGACGAATTACCTAAATTATCAACAGAAGGTGTATATCGGATTAATTGTTTATGTGGCAGATGCTATATTGGACAGACGGGACGTAACATCAGCATAAGACTAAAAGAACACCAAATAAATATTAAATTATCTCAAACACAACTGTCGGCAGTGGCAGAACATGCTTGTCAACAAGGACACTTAATTGATTTTGATAACGTTGAAGTGTTGTGTAAAACTAATTATTACTGGCAAAGACTAATTAGAGAATCCATTGAAATTGAGATAAATAAAAATAACTTTAATCGCTCTGATTGCTATAGGCTTAGTGCGGCTTGGGAGTGTATTATTAAATAATACATATTACAATTCCTTATAGGGGAAACACATACTAATTAACGGATTACTAACGTAGCATATATTCACAATAACACACATTACAACTCACTACTAATCATAACCATTGACTGATTACCAATCGATTTTATAATTACTGCACCTGAATGAGTTAAATGATGACGTCACCCTGCTGCTCTATTTAAGACCGGGAGCAAGTGAAGGCTTTACCATTCTGGCGAATTCCCCGATGATGCTGGATGTAATTACCAGCGAAACGTCGTACTCAAACTGTAAATGTTGTGGATTCACTCTTCAACACACCGGTGGGCTAAAGTAGTGAACTAATTGTCTTTTGTCAACATGACTTTTTTTTGCTGATTGGCCGTGTCGGGTGGTGAAGGGTTACGACACATTTATAAATAACGCGATCTAACCCAAAAACCTTTATTATGAGTATCAGTATGAGTATTAAAAAAATGCAATACACCTTTAAAAATCAGCACACTATAATCAAAACTCAATATCATACTTTGCAGCGGTCATCCGGAATGATACATTTGATTTCAGGCCATTCTGAATTGCAGTGGCAACTAGGGGTGTACAACTCCTCTAGAGCAGTTTTGAGTGAAGATCTCACAGGTAGTGATCTAAGTTGCAGTTTATTGGCGATAGCATTCCAGACCCTGGGGGCATCAATAGAAAAGGCGCTTACTCCAGTATTTGTACGGCAATAAGGAATGTGAAACTGGTAAATGAGCGAAGACCTTAGGTCACATTTGTTCTTCGAAACATTGAGCAGGTAGTCTGCTGATTTTTTTGTAAGTACATCGTGATTAAATAAGATATGATACACAAGCCGTCGATCAATAAGAGAAGTTCAGTTCTACCCAATGTAGAGATAGCAGTGGTGGGTCCTATATGGGCAGTTGAATGCAAATCTTAAGACCGAGTGATAAAGTGAGTCAAGCTTCTTCAGGATAGGACTGGGGGCTGATTCATATACGATGTCACAGTAATCAAGAAGACGCAGTATGGTGGCTTTTATCAATTCCAAGCGGAACATAGGGGGGAAGCAGTTCTTGTGTCGATACAGAAAACCAATTTTTTATTTTGTCTTTTTACCAATAAAATCAATGTGATCTTGAAAATTCAGTTTTGAATCAAAGATGTCCCAAGATACTTATAGATCTTGACTTGCTCTATTTAATGATTATTTAAGGAATACAATTGTGGACAAATAACTTCCTGCTTTAGTCCTAGTGCACCTTGGTTTTGGAGGTATTCAGGACTAGTTTAAGAGCAACATTCTGGCGAATTGCCCGATGATGCTGGAAGTATTTACCAGCGAAACGTCGTACTCAAACTGTAAATGTGGATTAACTCTTCAACACACCGGTGGGCTGAAGTAGTGAATTATTTGTCTTTTGTCAACGTGACACTTTTCTTTGCTGATTGGCCGTGTCGGGTGGTGGAGGGTTACGACACATTTATAAATAAACGCGATCTAACCCAAAAACCTTTATTATGAATAATATTGGTCGCGAAAGCCTACGTGTTAAACCAACTAGCTGATGTTGTAATTTGTTCAAATCACCCTGGAGCTTAGCAATCACGTCATCCGAAGAGTGACCAGCAGTAATCAGTATCGTGTCACCTGCAAACAGATTTACCCTGGAATGATCCAGGTCAGTTTCCAAGTCATTGACATGAAGAGAGAACAAGAGGGGGCCGAGGATGGAACCCTGTGGAACCCCTTTTGTTTATAGGGTTACATATGTATGTGCGTGCAAACTTACCGGCTCGCCCTCTGCCACCCCTTCCAGCAACTGGGGCGAAGGCTGGGGCTTCATGCCGACGGGCAACGCCCTGGTGTTCGTCGACAACCACGACAACCAGCGCGGCCACGGCGCTGGCGGGGCCTCCATCCTCACCTTCTGGGACTCGCGGTGAGCGGGCGATTGGGCCGTGGCGTGCGCGGGTGAGTGGGGTGGGCATTGACGGGCACCGGGCCCGGGCCCGGGCCGAGGTGGCAGGGATCGTCGTGACTGGTTTCTCCGGCGCGCGCGGCTTCTTCCGGGAGGGTTGAGTAAAGTGGGGCCCCAGAAAGAGGGCGCAATCTCGGACATGTGTGAGAGAAGGTTTGCTCACGGCCACAACAACGACGACAACCTAAAGTTCGACCTATTCAAATCAAAATCTGTCGTGCGTCCATTTGAATAGGGAAGAGTTCACGTTTACCCATTACCACAAGAGAATCACATCTCCTCGGATGCCGCTGCTGGCGCCGTGCTATGAAATGTACGCATCACGTTTACACCGGTGGCGCCCAAATGTTCAAATGCGATTGGATAGAATCTATCACATGTGGCTTATGTGAGTGACTTTCATGATTATAACCTGCTCGTGATAGGATGGCATCTGTCATGCGTAGCTTCTGTCAACTCGCGACTCATTCACCGCCTCCTGAATTACATGTCTTAAAAAAATATTGCATTCTTGTGATGTTGTCATAACCACAGCGTCTACAAGATCGGCACTGCCTTCACGCTGGCTCACCCCTACGGCTTCACTCGCATCATGTCGAGCTACAGGTGGGATCGCAACTTCGTCAACGGCAAGGTGAGACGCGTTCGATCAGGTGCACGAAAACGGGCGGCATCCGCGCTAGCGTCAAAACTTTTACGACGCACGACCAATGTTCTCCGCGGCGTGACCCGTGATGTTTCAGGATGAGAACGACTGGATTGGACCTCCTGCCAACGGCGATGGCTCCACCAAACCCGTGACCATCAACTCCGACGACACGTGTGGCAACGGCTGGGTGTGCGAGCACAGATGGCGCCAGATCAAGTGCGTTCCCAGAGGTCCACGCGGTGGCCGGCGCGGTTCAGCGGTTCAGAGCGATTGATACAGAAGGAGAGAGATCAAGGCAGGGGTGGTGGCAAGGGACGGGGGGGGGTGCCAGATGCAGTCCCCTCGATAAAAGGTCACTGGACCAGAGGTCACTTGAAAGGGATCTCAGAGGTAACTCTGTGATATCAACACCTGTGGGATGTTCCCTTAGCACAAAAGGGTGGTCGTGTTCCTCTCCGGGAGAAATTTCGATGGAAATTCTCGGTGATACAAAATGTAACACTAAGTTTTGACTATTGTAGTTGGAGAGGCCACTTTGCATGCATTTCAAAGGCATAGCTGTAAAGCAGAAGTGTAACTAATCCATATTAGTTGCTAGGCTAGGCCATGGTGGCGATTCTTGGCATGTAACTACCAATGTGGGTCCACTCAGAAACAAATATGGACCACTGTATTGGCTACGAAACCCTACGTTTTAAAAAGGTATCCAATGTGTAACTATACATCCATTCATCAACCACAACCTCTTGCTACTCGCAAGATCTAGGCATCGAATTGTGCCTATTGATCACCTATTGTCAACTGTTCTAAGTCATTTTAAATAATTTCCATGGAGGTTATAAACGCACCATGGGTGCAGTTAAAAAACAAACACTTTCTTGAATCCTATTTGCGGCCTCGAATCGTGACAGTTTGTGGAACTACGAGGGGGAAGGAGCAGGGGGAGGTGGATAGGTGCTTGCCAATCGCAAAGCTGTCGATTATTTTGTCATCGTGCCATTCTTGCTTTTCAGGAACATGGTCATCTTCCGCAACGCTGTCACCGGACACGATCTGACTAACTGGTGGGACAACGGCAGCAACCAGATTGCATTCAGCCGCGGCAACCGTGGGTTCATCGTCATCAACAATGATGACTGGTGAGCACGACTGGCTTAATTTGCGCACAACGGCACAACGCGCCCAATATACACCGCTAGTTTCCGCGGTTGCAGCTGCCGGCACTGGGCGCACATAAGCTGCTGGCGTCCACACCGTACGTAGAAAAACGACCAGAATATTATCTACAGAAATGCAATTCAGAAAGTGTCCGAAGCTGGTGGCCCATGAGCCTTCAGTTAGGACGAGGGCAGTCGAACTGCTAGACAAACTAGGCGAGGCGTAGAATCTTCCTTGAAGATATCTCCCCCAGCGAGCATTCCTCTGACGCACTGGGGGTCATGACACATTGGTCAATGTGAGAGTGCAACGTAGATCTCCCTCGTCATCTCGTTACACTATGCCGAAAGCACAATCTACGACAAATAAATTGTGCCAGTGGCCAAAAGCAAGCAACGTCCGCCACTTCAATCCACCAACAGAACGCGCGGGTAATTTTTGTTTTGTCTACTGCGTCGACTGCCCTCCGATAATAGAAAGCCACTGGAGCTGTGCACTTTGAAATCTAGATTCAAAATTCATTTTTTCGAACTACCTTTTGTGTTTCGTTTGTTGTCCTTCCTCTACACCTCCGATTAGCATGGTTGGCTATGTATGGTGCGATAGAAGTGTCAACATATATACATACATACAAATATACATACTTACAAGCATATGTACGTCACCGTTCCACAGGGCGCTTGACGCGACCCTCCAGACCGGCCTGCCGGCTGGAACCTACTGCGACGTCATCTCCGGCAACTTGTCGGGCGGGCGCTGCACGGGCGCGCAGATCTCCGTGGGGGGCGATGGTCGCGCCTTCTTCCAGATCAGCAACGCGTCCGAGGATCCCGTGGTGGCGATCCACGTCAACGCCAAGCTGTAGCACGGCGTCGCACAGCTCCCGCTGGGACGACGGCGACGATGATGAACCCAGCCTCCCAGCCCCCCGGCGACGCTTCGCGCAGAGTAGAACACGATCGATAACAAAATCGTAACAGTAATGATGATGATCGAAACGAAGACGTTTAAAGTCCGGACGCAGCCGCCGCTTGCTTCAACCGGCTCAAATCAGCCGGCCGTTTTCGACATCTCGCACGTGCAGCCAGCGAGTATCAGCTTGCTGTACTGCCACATGTACTCATCTGCTGTAATCAATAAAATGTGCACACGTTAATCCAGATTTCACTGGTCTATATCTGATATTAAAAGGTGAAGGCACAGCCCTCCAATTACTTGCTCACACCACAGCTGGCAGATGGGCCTCCACTAGGAGGGGAGCACTTGAGAGGCCCCAGTGGAGGGTGCTTTTGGCCTCCTCTTCTTCACTGGCCATATGTCATGGAAGGAGTGGGAGTGCCCACACTTTGCACACGACAAACAACCTAAACATTTCTGCTGCTGGGTGGACAGAGGCAGCTGGGGATTTGAGGAACTTGCGACATCGTTTCAACTGCTGACTGTTTACATCACCACAATTGGCGGCGTGCCTAAGTCAAACGTGTGACTCGAAATGGACGCACACAACATTCTGCCAGGGATTTGTGAGTGCAGGGAGTCTTAGTGCAGCGTGCTGCAAAAACATACTCCGACTAACAAAACTATACTGTGTCAGTTTACCAGGTAAACTGTGTGTCAGTTTACCAGGTAAACTGACACACAGTTGTCTCTGTCTGTACAGTCACTTGTGTTAACCAACTTCCCCTATCTACTTTACACCTCGGTGACCTGCCTGCGGCAGCTCTTCCTCTGAGCAGCTCCGCATTCACAGCTCCGCGCACAGACAGCAGCTCACACTGGTCTTACAGGCAGCTGCACACACACAGAGCTTGCACACAGAAGCTTCGCTCACACAGAGAGGCTCGCACACAGCTGCTCTCCATCTGCGCCGCTGCCCTCGCCTACGTTCCATCAGACCCACTCACTCGTCCGATCCGGGCGGGGGGGATCAACCATCACCCGCCCGGCGACTCGTGAGGGTTGAGGTCCGTCCCTGGCTTGAGCGGCAGCGGCGAGATGCCTTCACCTTGGTCCCAGCAACCCGAACTCTCGCTCCGCTCCCACGCACCCCCTTATATCCTCCTGCCAATTACCAAGCACCTCCCTTGTCTCTCTTCAGGACCAGACAGGCTGGCGCCTGTCAGGCCATCAATCGCACCTTATCGCACGTCTCCAAGGCGGCAACCTCCTGTGCCAGCGTACAACCCAGGGCCGACCCCGTCTGCAACAGATCCTCCCGTTAATGAGTGGGAGGTTTTCTCGTGCAACCTCACGTTGCACACGCGCACCTGCCCGCCCTCGGTTGCCCTCGGCCAGCAGTGCGCACCGCGTATTTTACCACACTACACAGGTAAGGCCCACTGAGCGACATAGCTCTTTTGTCAGAAGTGACTTGGCCACCAATAATAGCTCAACGAAGTGGCTCATCATGTAGACATTTACAGCAGCCAAATCATCGAAACGAATGTGAAGCCGGTGTGAGCTCACCTGTGATTAATCACACGTGTACAATTGTGCAGTGTAGCATATGGAAACCTAAGAAACTACGTTGCATAGCGACGGGTATGCAGGTGCGTTTTTTTATTATTATTATTTACTATCTAAGTTACTGGCTTCGCACAGGTCTCAGTAATCAAATGTTAAGAGTAATGTCTTGCCAGGCTGTCTTAGTATAATTGAATACTGCAAATAAAGTCAGTAAATGTGTGTATTGTTAGGGAGTATGGCTCCATTGCCCATTTTCAGCAGACTTGCAGCAAACTGTGTATCGGATGTATTGCCTTTTAGGGGAAGTCGCATATTGATGCTTAGGCTGAGTCGCTGAATGTCTTTCGAAATATATGATGCTTTGAGGCAGGCGTGGAGTTCATCACCGTTCGTGTCGGGGAGGCTGACCCCCGGCTCCTCGCTCACGTGGGATCCGCTGCTCCCCTCTACCATGTCCTGGGGAGGGTTACTGCTCACGGACTCCCCCCCCCCCTTCGCCGCGGCCCCTCGGGGCATGATTCGCGGCTGGCGTTTAGCCACCTGGGGTCAATTTGCACAATCGCTGCCACAACAACAACCGCCATTGGCCACTAACTGGCGGTAACGTCATCATGACGCTTGTGCCAGGCCATGTGCATCTTGAGGCCACGTGAAGTGTCGAACGCCCGCTGGCAGGAGGTCACGGGGCAGACCCAAGTGCCACGGGTCGACTGACTGAGATGACTGAGATGACTGGCTGATGCACCACATGTGCCCCCTACTGTGCCAACCTGCTGTGCTTTAGCCACCCGGCGCTCCGCTCGTTGTTGTGAGCGTCGCTCCTCGGCCCTCCGTTGTTGTTGGAGGGCGACTGCCTCCAACTGCCCAATAGCGTCCTTCACGAGCCTCCTCCACAGAGGCCGATCTTGACACCGCTGGTACCAGTCATCGGCAAATCCACTCAGCTCCACGTCCTCCTGTACCACATCACTCCATCTCTTCTCTAGCCCGTGCCGCGCCCGTTTAGCCCCCTCGATCCGGCCGAACAAAAGCTGTTTCGGTATGCGGTAGCTGGGCATGCGGGCTACATGACCCAACCAACGCAGCCTTGCCTGCCAGAGGAGCTCACCGATGGGACCTTGCCCAGATCTTTCAAGGATTTGTGAGCTCCTCACACAATCTAACCTGGTTAAACCCAGGATGGATCATAGGCAGGCTAACCTAAATGTTTCTAACCGGCGAAAATGTTCCATTAGGGGGGTCCACGTTGTTAAACTGGAGCCGGTCATAAGCACACTGCCCAGGTATGGGAAACTCTCCACTCTCTCCACAACTGCCCCATCACCGATTGGGAGTTGTGGGGGTGGAGTGTCCGATGGTACAAAATACCCAGGCAGGTGTTTAGTTTTGGTGGGGCTGATGGTAAGGCCCCATCTCTTAGTGGCACGCTCCAGTCTCAGCAACAGCGTTTAAAACTCCTCCTCTAAAATGAGCAGCTATTACCAAATCATCGGCATACATAATGTGGTTGAGCAATAAGGAGCCATCCCTTGACCGCACCCGGGCATTGATCAGCCTTCCATTATATCTACGTGGTCAAAATAGATGTTAAATGGTGTGGGAGCCAGAGGACATCCGTATCGCACCCCAAGGTGTACAGGGAATGGCACTGACTCCCGGCTATGTAGTTTTACCCGGGCCCACTCACCATCATGAAGGTCCTTAATGATCGTGAGCAGAGGGTTAGGGACTCCAAAAGCACAAAGAACAACCCAGAGCTCAAGCCTACTGATGGTATCATAGGCCTTGACCAAGTCAATAAAGCAGAGATGTAGGTCTTGCTGGAATTCCCTACACCTCTGCTGTAGCAGACGGACAGAAAATATGGCATCTGTGCAGGACCGCCCTTTTCTGAAACCGCATTGGCGCTCCGCAAGCCTCTCCTCAGCATGCCTGGCAAGGCGATGTTGAATAATCCTTGCCAGGACCTTTCCCGGCACACTGAGGAGTGAGATGCCCCTGTAATTGTTACAGTCTGTGCGGTCCCCCTTCTTAAAGAGGGGGACCACCAGGGCATCCTTCCAATCCTGCGGAACCCGTCCAGTGGTCCAGACTGTTGTTATGATGTCATATAGGGCAGTCTGTGCACAAACGCCACCCTCCCTCAACATTTCGCATGGGAGATTATCTCTGCCCGGTGCCTTTCCTGGTCTCAGACTCTGGATCGCCTTCAGGACTTCCTCAACAAATGGCACCTCAGCCAGCCACTCACAGGGGGTGATTTCCTCCAATTTTTGAGGCACCGCAGCCTCAGCAGGGTCATCCCCACTTTGTGCCACGATGTTTTCCTGGCTGAGGGATTTCCCCTCCCCCAGGACCTCACAGAAATGCTCAGCAAATCTGCAAACCTGTTCCTGGGGGTCGGAGATTGGATCACCTTTTTCCCCCTAATGATGGTAATAGGTGTGGCACTGCAGGTTACTTTTTTGATGGAGTTAAATAGAGATTTGTGATCGCAGGCCACTGAGGCAGATTCCATCTCCTCAGCAACCTGCGACCACCACCCATCCTTGCAGCGCCTCATGGCTGTCCGAACCTCCAAGCAAAGGCTGCGGTAAGCCTCCTCATTCTCTGACGTGGGATTCTGTAGCCGATGACAGTGGGCCTGTCGCTTTTTCTCAACTATCCTGAACACCTCCTCTGTCAGCCAGGGTCTCTGTGGAGGTCTGGACCGCGTACCCAAAGCAGCCATTGCAGCTGCATGAGTCACAGTCCTAAACCTCGGCCATTTACCCTCGACATCAGGAGGAGTGGGGGACGATGCCAACCCCAGCCGCAAGCGATGATGAAATTCTCGCTTGCAACTTTCATCAGATAACTGAGACCAGGCCACTTTAGGTTGGAATGGGGTCCTGGGTGTACACCCACCACCAGAGTGGAAGAATGGCAGGCGCATCTTACAGATGACTAGTCGATGGTCAGAGGGCAGATCAGCTCCACGGTAGGTCCTGGTGTAAAGGACATGGGCTCGCATCCGCTGGTCCATCACTATGTAGTCCAGCAGATGTTCTTGCTTTGACCCGGCATGCATCCATGATGTTGTGTGGATGCGCCGATGCCGGAACAGCATGTTGGTAATTACAAGCCCATGGGCTGCACAAAAATCTAGCAGCCTCCTACCGTTGTTATTGAGCTGATCTGGTCCATGCCCTCCAATCACTCCAGACCAGGTGCCAGCATCATGACCAACTCGGGCATTGAAGTCACCCAACAAGATGACTCTATCCCGAGGTTCCACTTTAGCCAGCACCTGTGACAGGTGGTCATAGAAGGCATCTGACTCATCGGCTTTGCCTGCATCCCTTCAGTGGGGGCATAAGTAACCACAACCACCACTCCTCGCCTCTGGTTGATGGGAAGGTGATCCCAAAGTAGCCTGGGGCTTACAGCTTCCCACACCTCACCGCCACGCTCCCACACCCCCTTCATTCTTTTGTTAAAAAGAAGAGCCACACCTTGTTAATCTCCTGGCTCCGCCAATTGGGGTTTGGCCAGGAGACGTCATAGATGCCTGTCCCCCCGGGGCCTCCGGCATAAGCTTATTAGTTACATTTTATATTCGTGGTTTCATGGTAAAAATGTTGAAGGTGGAGGGGTTACCAACCCCTCGCACTCATCCAGAGCCGCCGTTTAGCCACTGTGGTGGCCACA